AAACTGAAAAAAGCACAGTTTGTGTCAGTCATGGCTGTTACATCAGCTCCCACCTAACTCAAGGATAAATAAGGTCTTAGTAGATCTGGTTTTGGTCTTTTCATGGATTTGTTTATAATCAATAATGTATCTATGGAATATTACCAGCTTTATTATTTAGAAATAGATGGGAAAGTAGTGGAAATATGAAGTTTGTTATTTACTTATGATAGTGGGTGTTGGTCACAGCTTTTCACATTACACATGATCAAAATCATTAACCAGACTGGCTTCATCTGGGCCTTCCTCTGCTTCATTCCATCGCTTGTAATCAGAAAGCCGAGGCTCGCAGCTGCTTCAGCTTTTCTTTTGTCTAATGTTGCAATTAGCTGCCATTAATTTTTATTTAAATGGTGTTTTTTCCCCCCTTTAAATCCAAAGGCTGGCTTTTAGATCTGTCGCCTGCTGCACTTTGAGACGTCGGGACGTATCACTCGAAAAGGCCCCCTTCCACTTAAGCTGTGGAGGATGAATCTCCCCAGGCGCCACACCAATTTTTGAGCAGTTATGTAATTAGTAACACGCGAGAAGTCGCTAAATTATTTACGGGATCCATTACGGACGCTTCGATAAATTTTTCAAGACAAATCGTAGGCGGTGCCGCCCATTTTGGTCGGCGCCGCTGAGGACGTCCTTTACACCACTTTGACATGCAGCGCCGCGCTCCACGTAGACAGGCTCTTTAATAATAGACCGCGGTATCACAAATCAAACCGCGCCAGCTTTCAATTTTCAGCCATCAAAAGATAACAAAACACTTTGAAATGCTTGGATTCGTATATGCAGTAAGGTCTGCTTCTGCCAACAGGGAAGATGCACTCATGAAGCGGTATCCTTGAGGTTGGGTAAGAGAACCAAGGTGAAAAAAATGAAAAAAAAAAGATTTGATCTTGTTTTGGCTTTGATCCTCTCTTGAGCTATCTCAGTTCCTGACTTCAAATCGACTTCAGATGCTGTTGAGGACATTAACCTTGCATAGACTCTTTTACTCCTCTGTGTGCGTGCGTGTGTGTGTGCGTGCGTGCGACGTCATCTGAATGCTACTCAGGCAGCGTCTCTGGTGTGAATCAGCTAGTAACTCTGGTCTGGTCAGCTGGGATCTGGGTTGAAATTAACATCTGTGCACTGTGCAGCAGGTCCTCCATCTTAATCTCAGTTTTTTTGGCTGTTTTTCCTTTTTCATTCTGATTGGAAACAAATGTGTGGAGGATGTTTGCAGCTGTGCATATGTCACTGTTGAGGTTTGCTGTATTATATTTGCTTGGCTGCTTCTAGAAGATCAGAGAATGGCTGCGCTCTCCTTTCATTTTCCACCTTTGGTTTTTGCACACTGAGCTCCACAAATGTTTGGACAGCGACACGTTGATCCTTTTGGCTCCTCGCTTTAATTATTTTGGATGGAAATGATACAATGGCTTTAGCATTTAAGTGCAGGCTTTCCGCGTTATTATGAGGGCAGCGTAATAATTCTGATGGTTTATTTGGACTTTGATCCAGAGTGAAATGCAAACCTTGACCGGTGCCAGTGTTTTGATGGTGTTCCTCTAAAATTACGAGTGACTGCAGTTATGAACAGCCAGGGAAAGGGGAAAAAAGGGATGGCGAAATCCATCCTCCATCTGTAGAAGACTTAAAACTCTCTTAGTCAATATTTTAATATAAACAACAGATTCAATGACCCTGCAAGTGGTTGCATAACCCACACAGAATTATTACCCAGCTGTCTGTCCCCTATGCTCGGAATTTCAGCGTCTCCTTGGTCATTATTTTTGGTTTTTCGGCCTCAAGCAGAGCAAGACAGCTATTATCAGAGAAGTAAGTTCTGATAAGTAGACGGGTGTGTCGGCTACTGATGGCAAACTGTGTTCAGCACTTTTAAAAAGCCCAGTCTTCCAAAAAATGATTAAAAACCGACTATTGGCAGATTCATTAATAAGCAACGCTCGCTAATGCCCCAGCCTAATTTATTAAAGATATTTCACCTATATTAATTACACTAAATAAATATATTAACAAAGTTCCCAACAGTATTTTCATACATTAAGATTTTATGTCCACATGTTCCACAGTTTCCTGCTTTGATATTCATCATCATTAAAGTTATCAGACATCTTAATATTAATGGGAATCTTGAGGAGCTTGTGGGTGTTGCATCACTCATATTTATGTTGCAAGAGTGAAAATCTCAAATGCCCTCAGCAGGATAGGGAGTTAACTTCTGTTCTGTCTTTGTATAATGGGTTTTTCCTCTGTTGTATGTTGGCTTCGTGTTATTTCTGACAAAATGTCAGTTTAGCCCTGA